AAAGCGTTAATATTTCATGTTTGTTTTAACTTTGTGCAAAAGCCAAAGTTGCACAATATCAGATACACTGAATAAAGTGGGTTAGGACCCACTGAAGTGGTTACATCTGTTGAATAAAACAATTTTTAAAAAAGGAACTTGCATTTTATGTTTTAATTTTCTATTATTTCATTAAAAATAAAAATGGTCCCCAAGGAGACAGCTTAAGAAACATTGCTCTAGAGTTTCTATTTAATGCTAATTATTATTTCCCTAATATTTAAGTGTAGTTTTCTGAAATATGAGAGTTATCAGATGTTTACTAAGTTTTGAAATTTTGATCTGCTAACAGCCTTTTTCAGAATGGTGTTTATATAAGAGCCATAATGCCAATTCAAAATACGCAACTCTAAACATAACTTTTGATCTGGATATGGTAATGATTTTTTCCTCTTTCATGAGTTTCATTTGCTTGGTCACTTTTACGACTCCCCAATTCTAAGTTGGTTTTAGCTACCAAAAAACAAGTAAATGCTGATAAATCTATTGCCAACTTCCATAATGAAAAGCTGGAATACAAAGGAGTCGTTTCAGGGAAAATGATTATTTATATATTCAGATGTAAAATGACAAATATCTGCTTCTGTTAACAATAGAGCAAATACTCTTCTTTCATAAATTTTGACAAATTTAAGTAATGTATCAATAAATCTCTATACAGATAAAAAGATGTAACAGATCAAACAGAACAGTTATTTGTGGTTATGTGGTCAGTTAACTGTAATGCACATATGAATTGTAGCTTTAGACTTTTTAGGTTACCATAGGCTGCATAATACTCAGTTGTTATATTTAGAGTGCTAGCTAAGGCAAGAAACTAGAAACTCTTTTATTTTTTTCTTTTGCTACTCTTAACCATAACTCAAACTAATTGATAAATAGCCAATTGTGAATCAAACATGAAATTCAGAGAAATTTATTTTTTGCCTGTATCTATAGTTATTTGAATAGCAAACTGCTACATTTTACTCTTTGCATTTTAAGAATAAAATTATTATCATTCATTGGAAAAACAGTTGCATCATTTAAAAGGGAAGGTGTTCAATTTCTAAGCTGTTATCTACTAGTTGAATGGCCTCATATGAGATCTTTTCACCCCACTAGATTCTGTTACCTCCATTTATTAAATGGTAAAATTTGACAAGATGTGTCCTTAAGTACATTACAGACCTCCTTGTTCTTGAAAACATGGGTTAAGAAATTAACATTGTAGTTATCCCATAAATTTTTTGCCTGAAAAAAGCATTCATCGGCTTATAGTTCCAGTCAACCTTTTGAAAAATGACAATTTATGGGGCTGGGGATTTAGCTCAGCGGCATAAGTGCCTGCCTTGCAAGCAGGCAGTCGTGAGTTTGATCCCTGGTATCGATAAAAACGAAAAAGACAAAAGAAAAAAAAAAAAAAAAAGAAAAATGACAATTTATTTTATCAGATACGTAAATAAAACTGAAAGTAAAACATATGCTCCATGTTATTTTAAAACTCATTCTTTACTCAACTCTAGTTCGTTCTATTGTCAGCTGACATATTCAAGATTAATACTGCATTTCAAAGGACAGAATTATTTAATGAGTAACACTGCCCTCAGCCGTATTCGTCCTATTCTATGCATACAAATTAGAGAAGGACCCCATCCAGTGCTACATTGTCTCTGTGAATACTAATTAAGGAGTTGTCCTTGTTGTTTGAATTTAGATTCAGAAAATAGCTTACTTGGCAATCCCTTATGTCCTAAACTCCAAATGTTTATGATACATCATTTGGGGTAGCCGCAATGCTAAGGCAATTTGAAAATTGATTTGATTTAGAACAAGCTGATGCCCTGATGCTTAAAGAACATGACGTCTGTAGAGCAGCTTGGGATTTTAGGATAGTTTGCATGTGTTTATTTAGCTTCATCAAGGGAAAAAAAAATATGGAATACTAGACAAATTCCAGTCCACTTACAGGACTGCATGTGTTGACGCCCACTCATTGGTGAGTTCTGGGTTGCTGCAGGGAGTCCCCAGATGAGAGTGGTGGGACTTACATTTCTTAGTGTATTTTTCATGGAGTTTGAGTAGATCTAGGGAGGCAGAATTCAAAAATCACATCATAAGAAAAGTTGTTCTTTTTTTCAGTTCTGGTTCTTCCTAGTTTAAAAAAAAAAAATTCTCATTGTACTGTTAATGTGCTTCTAACACCTTTTAGTAAAGAATCGCCTTTGTAATAAGAGTTGGTAATAACAAAGCCTTCTGCAAACAAACAACATCTAACTATAATAGCATTAGTTTTTCACTATTTTTATACATAGGAAACTTCTGTTTATGGCGGCACTATCCTTTTAGTTATGGCAGCAACATAAAACCTTTTCAAATGAGTTTATTCAACCGTACAGGTAAGTTATTTAGAGGAAAGTTTTTCAATATATAGTACATGGCAGACAAAATTTTCTAAGATCTGATATGCAAATGTTTGAAGCTTGGGAAACACTAGGCGGATAAAACACACACTGAGCTGTAAGGTAGGAAACTTGGACTAATTCTCTCACTAATTATCAGATTGTACTTGGGCAAGATGATGAATCTTCATCTCCTCCTCATTACCCAATAAATATAGTGATGTTTGCCAAGCTACCTTTGGGGTGATGGGCAAAGATTAAAATAAGGAAAGGAAAGTGAAATACTTTAAAGTTGAAAGTTTTTGCAATTAGGCTTCATTATTTTGCTCAGTATCTAAGACATCACCATTTTTTCCTTTTATACCAGTCAAAGAATAACAAAAAATTCATAACCATTAAGACAATAAGGACACTAAGGACAATATTATGTCTACTTCTTTTCTAGGATCATGATTTTTATTAATGATGGAGGTGGGTGAATGTGTAGGCAAGATAATCACTTGCATATTTTCTATATATGCAATATTCCTAAATTAAAAATTGTATTTGTCTTTTTCAGATAGATTATATGTTGGTTTTTGCTATTTTCTATGGTGACAAAAAACTTTAAAAATAAACTCTTTAAAAAATGAATCAGATGATATATTTATCTCAAATCTAAATAAAAATATAACATATATAAATACTTAAAGCTGTTACAAATTAAGAGAATTAGTTTTGCACAAAATCTTTTATTGACATAAATTGACATAATATTAGAATATTATTTGTTGTAAATGTATAACTACATATTTTCTAATGATGTCATTTCATTGTAGTAAGTTTTCACTCTTTCTTTTTGTAATTTAGTATTTTATTAATTCCTGAAGTTTAGTTATCATTTTGGCTAAAATATAATAGTAAAGTCAAATGCCTTGTATATTTTGATATTAGTGGTTACCATCTCATGGCTATTTTATTTTGGCAATATACTTTCAATGTATTATTTCAGCTATGAATTACAGGATATTCACATATAGAAGTAATGATAACAAATGTGGCTTAGCTTTCATTCTCTTATTTATAACTAAGCATTATTGCTGCTGAATTAGAAATGATAGGCATTATGTTCTCATTTGCATAGAAATATTTATGCTTGGTCTAGGACAGAAATTCTCAAATTTAAGTGGTTATTAAGATCACCTGGAAGAACTGTCAAAATATTATTTGATCAAAATGCAGTTTGTGATTTAGGAATTCTAGATGGGCCCATAGCATGGATACTTCCACCCAGTTCACCAGCAGTCCTGAGACTGATGGGGTATTCTAGGGCATACTCTCAGACCCGCTGGTCTAGTGGAAGATGGAACAGCAGAGCAGGGAGGCTGAGGACCTTTGGTAATAGGTTCATATATTAAAGCTGGCTTTTGACAGTTGTGAGCTTTGTGTTGTGAACAAGTTAGGGAGGGATCAGCTTTTCCGTCTGTAAAATTATAATTGTATTTATTGGGAGCAGTAAGTAAAATAATGTGTTATAAATGCTTAGAACAATGCCTCACTGACTACAACATCAGAAACCAAACAAGATGGCTTGGAGCAGTAACAGTAAAAGCAGTTATGGGAGTAATGACAATGAGTACAATAGCAACACCTAAATCAGTGATTTTAATTTCTGGAGCTTCAAGTACATATGGTTGGCAAAAGTCTGAAAATATTAAATGGAAAACCCAAGAAATGATTTTATAAGAATAATTCATAGGTTTAAATTTCACACCATCCTGTGTAGTAGCATGAAGAAATCTCAGTGTCTTGCTCCACAATACCAAGGTTGTCTGTTATCCCTTTGTGCAGTGTATCCATGTAGTATACTACTCACCCTTTGGTTACTTAGTCACTACCTTAGTTATTAGATCCATTGTCTTGGTAATGTAGGGCTGGTGTTCAAGTAACTTTCTTTTACTTAACAATGGCCACCAAATGCAAGAGTCCTGATGCTGACAATTCTCATAGATCAAAGAGAAGCTATAGAGTGCTTCCTTTAAGTGAAAAGATGAAGGTCCATTACTTAAGGGGAAAAAATCATATGATGAGGTTACAGCTATTTACAAGGAGAGTGAATCATCTGTCCATGAACTTGTGAAAAAGGAAAAAGAAATTAATACAAGTTTGCTTGTATCTTAAATGGTGAAAGTTAAAGCCACAATGCATGACAAAAACTGAGTTAAGATGAAAGAAGTACTACATGACAGGGTTCAGAACACTGTGAATTCAGACATTCATTGGTTATTTTGGAACACATCCCTGACAAATAAAGGAAAACTCTTGCTTCCATATTACTTGAGTTGTCTTATAATGAAAATTTATTAGTGTTTTCTAAGCAAAGCTGGAGCGAGAGCTTACACAATGAATTGGTGAGACTATTGCTATAAAAAACATTCTGCACAGGAAAGGAATTTAGTGAGAAGCAGTTTTTCCACTATGCACATTTGCAAGGATGCTTGGAGACTAGAATCTAAGTTTTAATTAAACAAAATTATCTCCATTTGTGCACTATCCCTCAATATTCAATCCTCAATGTATTTGTTTCTTTCTTTCCCTTAGCAACAAGAGCAAGACCCAACAAATCTATACATCTCAAATCTCCCAATTTCTATGGATGAGCAGGAACTTGAGAATATGCTGAAACCATTTGGGCATGTCATTTCCACAAGAATACTAAGAGACGCTAATGGAGTCAGCAGAGGTGTTGGCTTTGCCAGGTAAAATTCTCCATGTGTAACCTGTCTATAACCTGTGTTTTCAACATGTCTAATTCCATTCCTTTTTAGCTCTAGGGTGAAAAAAGATAGAATATGCAAAATAAAATAGAGTTGAAAAACAACTTACCAATCTGTCATCTCTATCTTGCTTCAAGGCAAAGAATCTAACTAATTATAAATACATTGTGCTTATTAAAATATGCACATAGAGTATGTTTATGTGTCTCAAGTCACAGTGACATGTATATTTTGTTTCCAATCTTTCCTGTGGTTGTAGATGAACAAAATCTGATGGTGCCAATCACAGTCAGATATAATAAATGCCCAATATTTCTAAGCAAAGAAGCCCTGAGCGGTAAACAACTAAGCAAATGTGTTTGCACTGATTTTCGAAAGGGAACAGTAGATTTCTCAGTAAGCAGAGGAAAGAACAGAGGAAAAGTTTAAAAAATCCAACATGAAGTCCTAGGAAACCCAGAAAGGTGGGGTCAAGGAGGCATTTGTGTCTATTGGCTGTTTGCTTTGATATTTGAGGCAGAACGGAAAAACAAGTCAAATTGTATGTATGTCTTACATTGTTAGAAAAGAAATACAAAAAAGAAAAGAAAGAATAATTCTCATTTCAACTTTAAAAGAATGTTTACAAAAGAGGATATCAGCTAGGAATAAAGTGAAAATAGCTGGATCTGCCGTGACTTTATGGAAACAACAACAACAACAAAAACAAAGCCAAAGAAACCATAGAGGAAAAGAAGCTACACGATGACAAAAAGAAAATTAAAACATTTGTCTCTATGACTTTGTGTGCTTCTGTGTGTCTCCATCCAGATGAGACAAGGCTCAGTAGATGGATGTCAGGTGTCATCTGGAAGTCAGGACTTGGCATGCGGTGTGTCATCCTTGGATGAGCCCTGCCATCATTTGGAAACCTTTTAACCACATTGAAAGATAATAAATGTTATTAAAACATATATTGATCTCTAACTTGACTGTTCTTGAGATCCATAGACCACATCTTCATATTATTTTTGTTCTCCATAGTGTTCTAGACACAGCAGAACAGTAGATACAACTGTACAGCCCACTTTCAGAAGGCTCAACAATACAGGCGTTCACTCGAATGACCACTGTGTCTTGCTTTACATACATGCACATTATATTGGTTTCCCCCACAATCTTTGTCCTCCAAACACTAATTAATTATTTATCTTTATTTGCACTTATGCTGAGAAATAAATACATTTATAATTCATCAAAAAATATGTTGCCTAAAATCTAAGGTGATTTTTTTGTTATGATTTATATTAGTTTTCCATAGATTCGAAACAGAATACTCTAGACCAGTTTAAATAATAGAAATTTATTTTTTATATGATTCTGGAGGTGAGAAGTTAAATCAGCATGTCTTCATTTCTTGTGATTCTTTTCCTTGGGGGGGGATCATAGAAGGCTTTCTTCTCTCTGTTTCCATAAGGTCTCTCTTCGTACATGCTGGTGTCCTAATCTGCATGTCTATGGGCAAAATCAAATGGATTAGGGACTTGTTTTTACTTTTTTAAATATTATATATCCAAATACCTTCACATTCTAAGTAAGTGTGTCAGGACTGCAAACGATGAACTTGGAGGATGCTCAGAACTGCTTGCCGCCTGAGGACTGGGATCTTAATTCTCTCACGTTGACCACTGCTCTATACTTTCAGTTTGCTGACAGTAAAGCATATATATTCTATGTGAAAAACCCAATAATATATATGGTAATGTCAAAATTGAGCAATGGCATATGACGGAAGAGTAAAACTCAAAAACCTAGTTTTCTTTAGGAACCAAGAAGGGCAGAATTTTTAAATAGGTGTTTTATCCATTCTCTGATTGGATGCAACTTCCTTCTCCACTGTATTTTGCATATTTGCAAAGTGAAAATGTGCCTTATGAATTCAATTTAATCAGGTCAGCTTCCTGATTACAATCCTTCCATGTGGCCTGGGTGATTTTAGTGGGCAGCTGCTCTAGCGTCATCCCTGGTGTCTGTCCCTCACCCTGCCAGCCTTGCCTCTTCCTGCCTCGGTGACCAGGGCTCCTGCTCCCCATCTTGGCTGCTGACAGTCTCCTTGATGTTCTCCTGTTTTCTGCTTACTCAGCTCTCTGTTACCGACTTAAACATTTTTCTTCAAAGAATCCTTCCCTGACCTCCAGCCCCAAGCTGGGTAAATGTAGACAGTCTTAAAAGTTCAGTCCTGTAAAAATTGTGTTTAGTTCTTTCAACTAAAATTTATCATAATTGAAATTAATTCAGTATTTAATATTTTATTTCACTCATTGGATTGCATAATTGGTTTCCTTTTTTCATGATTGAATGGGTGGATAGATAGATTGGTGGTTTTTATCTCTATTTCGTCATTCACCATTCTATGACATTTCCAAATAGCTAAGCTCATATTATTAAAAGCTTGAGTTTTGAATATGAGTTAGTGGTCATATGCCTCTATTGAACCTTATGTCTTTGTGCTCTAAATCATGTACTTCTCAATTTCACAAAGTAGCAAGTGGATTGAAAAACAGATTCATTCAACATAGTGTATTCTTATGCCTAAAAAATAAAAAGAACACATGTGTCTACCTCAGTTTTGTAAAAACTAAAAAACTGATACAGAATGAGCATTGCATTCTTCATGTAACTTAGACTTTAATTTCAAGGAGTAGGTTCACATAATTAACCTAACTAAACGGGATGAGAAAATAACTTTAGTTCTACCATATGTAAGTAAATCTACTCAAATTTCTCCTTCTTCACAGGTTAAAATTTATTCTGCTTTTTTCTTAGACAATTAAGGCTATTAATTAAACTAACTTAATACTTAAAACTTAATCCTTCTACAATGTTCCTCCTTTTAAAAATGCTGTCCTCTGCCTTTTTCTCCTCAGCCTTTCTCCCTGATAATTCACTCCTCGAACCACAAAACAGATCAGGTGGTTTGCGTCACACTTTTCTTGAATCTCCCAAGTATAGTACATAGGAGGTGAAAAAGTTATTGGGTTACATGCAAATGTCTTGAGACAGTGGTTCCCAAATAAACAGCTTTAGCATCACCTAAGAACCCATTACAAATGAAGCAAAATAGCAGCACGCTGATGGTAAGGAGTGTAGTGATCCATAACCTGTACCCACGGCAATTCAGGTGACTTTGCTGCTCTTTAAAGGATTGTGTCTCAGAGTCATCTGGAATGTTCTTAGAAATTCAGATGCTGAGTCTCACTCTGAAAGAGTTTCTAGCTCATTATGTCTGGGCAGGACCCAAAACACGTGAGATCCCACATCATACTGCCACTGTGGATTCAGAGATCTTACTTTAAGGACTCCTGCACCAGGGTCACCTAATTTTCCAGATGGAAGTGACACCCATTACAGCCTCACCATGTTATATGTCACTTTCTTCAAATGCACTAAGTCCAAATCTGTCTCTCTTCCCGTTCCTCCTGGATAGAAACTACCTTACTCTCCTTTCTACCATTTTCAGCACCTGCAATATCATTTCATTTATGTCTTCAGTAAAATGTTGACGATATTAAATAGAATCTCTCAAATTTATTTTCTTTCTTCCTTTCAGTATGGCAACATACAAGGGACATTTGATGCCAATGATATATCACGTGTGAAACAGAAAGTACTAGAATATTAGAGAAAACTATAGTAGCATCAGATACTGTGACCTATACATTGTTTCTTCCCCCCAAAATTCACAGTGCCATAAGAATTATTAAAAGAATTTGTGTATTGAATTGAGAGAACAAGAACAGATAGGCTATAATTGTGTCTAGTAAATGTTTTCACACTTCTCTTGAATCTATGACTATCTCACTTGAAAAAATCTGAAAAATTCTTTGAGCAGGGTTCATTTTGAATATACCATTGGTGACTTTTAACCATCAAATGTGGTCTTCATTCATGTGCAAGATATCCCAAATTCCTTTGATTAGGAAAAAATTCTGCATTATTATTTCACTTGCAAGTTATGCACTAAAATACTTTGATAACTATTTCTTCAAAGTAAAAGAAGCATCTTCATTTTATATTTAAAACACTGAACTTCAAAGCATTGATTTGGGTGCCAGCAGGTGTACAGATAGCACAATTATGTGCTTTTTAAAGTTCTGAAAGGACTAAGTAGTGTCTGAAATTCCAGATACTTTATTTTAGTGTGTGTGTGTGTGTGTGTGTGTGTGTGTGTGTGTGTTAACACTCTCTTGTAACTTAAAACAATTTGCTGAGACACACCATCCTCAGGCAGCATTTTACAGCCAAATCATAAACTTCTGAGAACAGAAGTTTATGGTGGCAGTGCTGACAGGCAGACTGCTCCTGCAGAGAGAGCGGGTGGCAGCTGACGACCTTGTCTGAGAGGATGAGGATCTGGGAATAAATCAGCCAGGGTCTGCAGGGACATGGCTGGATGCTCGCATTCTCCATGTCTCATTCCCAGAAACATGAGACTGTTTGTCCAGCAAAACTCTCATGGAAAGACTTTCATGATATGAGAGGTCAGTAAAGCGTGACCCAAAGTAGAGAAGGAGTGGGGGTGGGGTGGTGAGCATTCACAATCTAGCTTTGACATCTGGGAACATAGAACCTCTTTTAAAAATGCATTTACTGTCTCCAACTGAGCTAAACTGTGAGAGACCACCGAACACAGAGACCTTTGTATTTTGCAGATTTTTTTGACCCTCTGTAGTACTCTTAATCTGATTCTCATGGATCTTTGTTTGAATGACTTTTAACATATGGGCAGTCCTGTCTTTCACCTTCTCCTGAATGAGCAGGTTTACTACATAAATCATGCAGTTCTTCTTTTCACTAAGTAAAGTGATGATGATGGTGATGGGGTGGTGATGATAGTGGTGGTGGCTATAGATAGACCAATATTAGATTGATTATTAATATCAGTATAAATAGTGGATTTAAAATTTTCTCTTTTCTACTTACAACTGAATATTAACATTTTA